TTGCCCACCCCTGAATGGCAGAGGACAAGGCCTGCAGGGCCCACCCTCAGCACTTTGCATTGTGTGAGATCCCAGGACCTTTTCGTGATCCCAGAAGGGGGACTGATAATTCCCCTCCACAGGTCAGGGTAGAGACTTGGTCTGATCTAACTGGAGGGAAAGAAAAGCAATGCGGCGTTTCTCTTATACCTGGCCTTGTGATTGCGGATCAACACCTGATCTCCCATCCCTCACTGGCTTGGCTCCCTTGCCTCATCCCTGACTCACGGAGCGCCCCTAGCAAGAGCACAGAAATATATGTGGAGGCAAGAGGGTTGGGCTCCTGCCCAAGATCTGCTAGTGACCTGTTATATGACCCTGAGTAAATTCTTTTTCCATTGAACAGGGAGAGACAATGGGCCAGAGGGCCTCTGCCAGCTGATTTGAGGATTCTAGTGGGTTTGACTGAACCATAGCCCATTATAAACAAGGAAGCCCAGCCCAGAGGGTTTAGGTGGCTTGTCCAAGTTTGCAGAGCAAGTAAGAGACAGGGAAGGACCCACGCTCTGGTTAGGGGTTCAGAGCGTGAATTCTGGAGCCAGACTGCTTAGGTTCGGATCCTGGCTCTGCCATCCACCAGCTGGGCGACTTTGGGCAAGCTTCTTAAATTATCTGTACCTTCATTTCCTCACCCACAGAATAGGTGTAATATTAGTATCTGCATTAGGGACTCATTCTGAGGATTAAACTCAACACAGTACTAAGCACTGTGGAGTGCTGCCTCATAGTGAGTAGTCATAGCAGCCATTGGTCCAATTCCAAGCCCAAAGCAGCTCTCACTACCCAAACTTGTCCTTGTAGAGCCTGTCACACCAGCAAAGGCCCTGTGCCTCTGTCGGTCTGAGAGATCCCCCCTGTGCCGCTGATTAACAGGACTAGGCTGAAGACAGAGACCCAGGGTGGAAAGGACCAGCTGAGGCCCACGTCCCCAAATCCTTCCCAGGAGAGGGAGTGGGGATAAAGGAAAGAGCTGTAAACAGAACCGTCTTCCTTCCTTATCCTCAGATCCCAAAATAACACTTGTCTGCCCCCACCCTGCCCAGCTGGCAGAGGTGCAGTGTGAGTAAGGTGCCATTTAAAGATAACCTGGCCCTCCCCGTCTGCCCCACTGGTTGGGCTGGGCGCCTCAGGCCAGGCACTGGCTGCCTGGAACTGCTGCTGCTCCCACAGCCCCCCAGGGCAGGCTGTTCACAGCTGCCACCCAAAGGAGCCCAGCTAACCCCTCCTTTCCTGAGACCCAGGCTGTAGAAGTTCTGCCCAGGTGCCCTGGGCCTCTGCAAAGAAGCTGAAGCCTGGTATTCTGGGGACAGGTAACCCTGCAAAGGCATTGTTAAATAGTGCTCCTTCCTACCGGGAGCTGGCTGGCCTGCAGCGAGGCTGATCCCCACGGTCCTTCGCCCACCCGCAGACCCCTCCCACCAAGAGGACAAACTTGGGAGTCACAGTCTTCCCTTCGCACTGAGAGAGAATGAAGCTGGACACCAGGGAAGACCTGAAGTTGCAAGAGAGCTGTTTGTTTATTTGGGGGCAGTGACAGCCAGGAGATCTGGTTCCTTCAGTGCCCAGCTAAGCCATGAGATCTTGGCCAAGTTTCTGGGGCTCTCCTGGGTCTTGCTCTCCTAGCCCTGGGTTGCAAGGAAGAACCAGTGTGTGTTTGACACCCTAGAATGTAATGAGATTAAATCAATGAAGAAAGGGCTCAGGGTCCTAGGGAAGAAAGGAATGCGTAATTACCTACCTGCAGGAGGTGACTGTGCCAGAGGACAGCTGGGAGCTGGAGGACTGGAGAAAGCCTGGGACTAACCTGGAGGCAAGTAGGGGAGAGGAAGGGAGCTTCCCTTATCTCACAATGGCCCAGAATCCCCCTGAGCCAGACAGCTGGGTGGGGCAGAAGCCTCTGAAATGGAGGCTCCAGGGCTGTGGTCCTGGGAAGGCAGGAAGGTCCTGGGAGAGCCCAGGCCTACTCAGTTGGCTCTGATTTGAAGAGGAGCAAGAGGGGGGTGGGGAGGAGCCCTGGGCTGGTCATTCAGCCCAGCGGTGAGATGACTCAGCAGCTCGCTCGCTCGCTAGCTCGGGTACCACAGCCCCAGGCAAAGCCCAAACTGGGTCACAGGCATGGTCCTAGGCCCTCCTCTCTGCCCGGCTTCCGCCTCCCTTCCCCACTCTCTTCCCACATATCCCGCTCTCTTCCCACATAGACTCCTGCTGGGGATAAGGAGTATCAAAGTTTCCCCAGGTACGTGCTCTGTATGCCGAGCATAGCGTGGAGCACTTTAGACATGTTCCAGGAGAGGCAGGCGGTGGACTGCAAGAGCCTGGACTTAGAAGTCACAGAAGCTCACCTTCAAATCCCAGCCGGGCAAGCTGGGAAAACTCACTTCCGGCCCCTGTACAAGGGGCAAATTCATCTGCAGTATTAGCTGCTAGCAGCACTATGATCATATTCCAGGCCCACTGGGGAGAGCCTGCTACTGGCAAAGTTCATATTTTGTCTCATCTGATCAGAGATTAATTACTGTTTTCCTCTCCTTTTCCAGGAAAGTGCCTCTGCCCTTCACTGGGGCCTAGGAGACTGGCGTGATGAGGGGAAGAGTCTCCCAGGTGCCCTGAGGGGATGAGGTGCAGTAAAGCCCCTTCGAGCCTAAAAGATTTGGACAACCCCCTTCTCAGCGCCCCCAGTCCCTCTCCAGTGCTCCCACCCAGCCTCTTCCCACTCCTGCCCAGTTCCATGGCCTCCGCCAGGACTCAGGTCCATCATCAGGACAGAGTTAGCCTCAACCCATCTCCAGGCTCTCCCAACCCTGTCCATTCTCCCCTGCGCCCACCCCCAGCCCTTCCCCACCCTCTGTCTCAGTCTCAACACTCCCATCCTGCGGACTGAAAAGTTTCCCTAGAATTTTACAGTTAGAAAATCACTGATGGTGTTGTGAGAACTGGGTGTCGTGGCCAGCTGGAAGCCTCAATCAGGGCGAGGTTTGAGGAGGACCCGTTGGAGAGAAAAGGGGAAAAGGAGAAAAGCAAGAAAGTAGCTAGAAAAGGATGAGTTTCAGGAAGCATGTGGCTTGGTTTTGTTTGGTCTTGTTTTGTTTTGTTTTACCAGGAGAGACTTGAGATTTCCATTTTGCTCTGGGGAAAGAAGCTGATCAGAAAGAAGAAACTAAGGACCGGGAAGAAAAGAGATAAGGCGGAGAGATCAGAGGGGGTCTAGAGTACACGTGGGAGGATCAGTCTTGGACGGGAAGAGAGACAGCCCTCGCTCTGCGTGTCAGGCTACCTACAATCATTACCAATGGCAAGGGCTGGGTGACAGCAGTGAGCACAACGGCCACAGGGTTGCACACTCGTGGAGCTTGCGCACTTGGATGGCAAAGGGCACACTGTCTAGGGGGTGGTCAAGGGCGAGACGTCTCTCTTCACCCCTCTGCTGCTGTGTTTCTGACTGGGTCCTGCACGGGTACTTATAATCACTTGCCCCCCATTCCCCCATCAGACTACCAGCAACTACCTGGGGCAGGAACCAGTCCTCTTCTTACTCCAGCTCTTAGCTCCTCTCTTACTCCAGCTCCCAGGTTGGGTGTGCTAGCACACACATGGGCCCCAGACAGGGCAGCTCCTCTTCTGGACACCCTTCCTAACTTATTTAGGCTCTGCGGGACCTCCCCTGCTCTGCCCGGGTTCCCTAACCTCCAAATACGGAGAGACTCACTGCACACCCTCTGCTGTCAGGAAGGGGAACCCACCTGGATTTAGAAGACTTGGGTCCTGCTGTTGTTGCCTCTGCCTCTCGTGGGCTGTATTATCTCTGGCAAGTCCTACAACTCCCTTGAGTCCTACTTTCTCCATCTGTACGATAGGATCGAACACCTGTCACCTGTCAGCTTCACTGAGCTCACCGAGTTGTGGAAACCCTCTCATGAGCTACCTGTCAAAGTGCTTTGTAAGGGACTGCACCAAGGCCACGGCTTGAGGTAGGCTTTCAGTTTGGTCCCTGGAGTGACAGCAGGTCCTGGTCAGGGTAGCCCAGGTAGCAGCGGGCATAGTGACATATATGTCACATACTGACAGTATAAATTTGTAAGGGGATTAACTGGCTCACCCCTTCCACCAAAACCACTGTCTCCACTGTAATTAACTCTTGCCCTCCCTATGCTCCCCTAGCCTATGCAGTATTTCTGCAGGACTGCTTTATGAAAAAAGGAGTTTTTGAAGGGTGTCTAGCTGGATGGGCTCCAGGTGGCCCCAGCCTGTCATCCCGACTGATGAGGCCATAGGCTGGTGCATGCCAGCTCTGTCCACTCAGAGGGGGAAGGGGCCATCTTAGGAAACCAGTGCAGCTGGCAGAGTCCAGGCCTGTGGGCACCGCCGGGGACAAAGCCGCTCTGAGCTGCCTCTCAATGGGTGCCTGTGTTCTGGGAGTGGGGGCGGGGTGCTCTCAGGCTTCCCCCCCACCCCCGCCGCAGGACGTCCTGGACTGGACACTGGGGCAGAGAAGGTCCTGCACGGGGAAAGGTCCAGCCCTGCCCTTCTAGGGTTGGCCCATGTGCCTGGGCACTCGGAGACAGCACCAGGATCGGAGCTTCTGGGGTCCGGGATACTGATTGGGCCCAGGCCGCGGGGGCGGGCCCAGGGCACGGCCAGGCCTCCCTGGCTGCAGAGTCCAGCGGCCCCGCTGTGGCCTCCGTGGCTCCGGCAGCAGGAGCCACGGTGGAGCCGGGGGCGGGGTGCAGGGTAGCACCGGGCTGGGAGAGGGGCGCCCAGCTCCCGAGCCCGGGGCTGGGTGGGCGTCGCCGGTGGGTGGCCCCCTGGGCCGGGCGCGGAACGTGGGGGGCAGGGTTACCGCGGCCCCGGCCTTAGTCCCGCCCTCGCAGGAGGCGGGAGAGGAAAGCGGGCTGGGCCCCGCAGCAGCTCCCGCCTGCCGGCTTCGTCTTGCGCTCCACGCTCCCGGCGGCCGAGCTCGGCCGCGCCCAAGCCCCGCCATGCGGCCCCCGGGGCTCTGCGGGGCCGCGCCGCTAGCCGCGGCCGCCCTCCTGGTGCTGGGGGCTCCCCTGGGTAAGGGGTTGGGCGGCGAGGTGGCGGGGTGGGCGCGGGGCTCCGCTGGGTGCTGCTGGCCCGCAGGGAGCGGGAGGAGACCCAGCGGGGAGGCTGGGCCATGGGAGGCTTACCCGGGGCGCGGAGTCAGCCGCGGAGGGAGGCCGCCGGGTCTCAGGGGCGGAGCCCCTCGGGGTGGCGACGAGGAGCAGATCCCGAGACCCGGGAGACGGCGGGCCGGGAGCCTGGGGGAGCGGGGCTAAGGGCGGACGGAAAGCTGGCCCGATGGCCATGGGCTCGCCACCCCAACCTGCCCGCAGCGCTGGCCGGCGAGGACTGCCTGTGGTACCTGGACCGGAATGGCTCCTGGCATCCAGGCTTTAACTGCGAGTTCTTCACCTTCTGCTGCGGGACCTGCTACCAGCGGTACTGCTGCAGAGACCTGACCTTGCTTATCACCGAGAGGCAGCAGAAGCACTGCCTGGCCTTCAGGTGGGCCCCCGCCTCCTCCCCCGCCCCCTCCAGCCTCCTCTCAGGAGGCCTCCCCTGGCCTCCCCTCCTCCCTGTCTCCTTCCTGTCCCTCTCCATGTCCACCTCCACAGCCTCAGCCCAGACCTAGGACGCAGCCTGGTGACAGAGTGGGTGTTGGTGCTGGGGCCTGAAAGCTCTAGGAAAGGCGTATTAACCGACTTGCGCTTGGTGGAGGGTGGGTACATGGGGCAGCTTTGTGGGAGAAGCTCTGGCAAGAAGGCAGGAGACGTGGGTTTGATTCCCAGGTCCACTTCTCCTTAACCGTGTCATTCTGGGGAAGGCTCGTCCTCTCCTGGGTCATTATTTCCTCTTCACGAAATGCAGGGGTTGCCAAACTAGTGGTTTCAAACTTTTTGCAGGGAACTGCTAATATAGAAAAGGTGTAAGGAGACTGCGTGTTGGGGGGTTGATAGAAAGGGGCTCTAGATTATTTCTAAGGTGCCTTTCAGTGCTAACATGTTCAAAGTCTAACCAATTAAGTTGTAGACGTAGGAGCTACGAAGTGGGGAGCACACTACAAATCCCGGCATGCCTCACACTAGGCAGCCAGGCAGCATGGTCTTCTGGGACATGGAGGTCCCCTAAGATCTCCTCCACAGGGACTGGGCAGAGCCCCTCAAGGAACCCCAAATCTCAGCTTGCTGTGGCCCCCTGCTGGCCAGGAGTTGGAGCACAGTGTTATGGTCACCATAATGAGGAGTCCCTCCTATGAGTGTTGGAAGGTGAGGGCACTGTTCTTTGTCTAAGTCCCAAGACCATAGCAGGCATCGCCTCGGCTGTGATCCTCTTTGTGGCTGTGGTGGCCACCACCATCTGCTGCTTCCTCTGTTCCTGCTGCTACCTGTACCGCCGGCGCCAGCATCTGCAGAGCCCATTTGAAGGTATGTACAGTAACGGGAAAGATGAATCCGATAGGCTGGGCCGACCCCCGTGGTGGGCACGAGAGAGTTCAAGCGTGTGTGAACTGTGTAGCAGCGAGTGTGCTTCTGTGTACATACACCTGCCAGCCGGTAACCCCAGAAATAAGAACGTGGCCAGGGCTCTATGTGAACCAGCAGACTTTGTGTCCGCGGACATGCGTGCATGGGAATATTCAGATGTGCGTGGCAGGCCGTCTGTCAACAGTGGTGTGTGTGCATGGGCACAGGCATGCACGTGACTCTTGGAAAGGACACGGGATGGGGTCTGTAGCCGTGAGCATTAATTGCATGAACCCTAGTGTACAGTGGAATGAATGTATGCCTGAGTGCTGACATGTGACCACACATTCGCCCAACCCTGTTGGGTGTGGGAGTGGTGACGCCGCATGGGGGATCAGAATGGGAGGAAAAGGCTGAAGGCGGACCCCCTGAGTGGCAGCTGTGCTAGATAACAAGATACCAGACTCTCGAGCTGCCCTATCCTTGCCTAAGTGGGACATTCCCCGGGCTCTGTTGTCTGGCTCGTGAGGCCTCTGAAACCTGCTGAGGGGAGCAAACCTGCTAAACACAGACTGACTCGCGGGGACCACGTGCACAGCTCCCCGCTCAACTCTGCCAGGCAATGTCTGGGAGGCAGAGGCAGCAGGAGGCCAGCCTGGAGCCACCAGAACAGACAGCAGAGGCCCAGGGGTGCTTACCTTGGTTTCCGGGGCAGGAGGAGGAGGTTTTGCCATGGATGTGGAGTTTTGATGCTGATCCTTGTCCCCCACCTAGGCCAGGAGATTCCAATGACAGGCATCCCAGTGCAGCCAGTGTACCCATACCCCCAGGACCCCAAAGCTGGCCCCGCACCCCCACAGCCTGGCTACATGTACCCTCCTAGTGGTCCTGCTCCCCAGTATCCACTCTACCCGGCTGGGCCCCCTATCTACAACCCTGCAGGTAAGTGAGCGATCTGGAGTCTCTTGCTCCCGCCTGCTCCCTACCTCTGTGCTGGGACCTCCGCTGCTCTTTTCTCACCCTGAGTCCCTCTCCCAGACTTCTGCCTCAGCTGGAAACATCCCGGCTACCTCTTCCCCATGGATCCTTCATGCCTCTGGAATTGGGGGTCACTTCCCAACCTCCCATGCCCCCCCCCCACCCTCATCCTGTCTCCTTGGCTTTCAGCTCCTCCCCCCTATATGCCACCACAGCCGTCCTACCCAGGAGCCTGAGGAACCAGCTGTGTCTCTGCTGCCCCTTCAGTGATGCCCTTCTCCTGTATCTGCATCTGGCCGTGGGGGTGGGCGAGGGTCCTCTACTCCTCAGGCCCAAGACCAAGCCAAGCCCTGGGTCTTGCTGGTGATGGAGCCCCAGGGAAGTAGACCAGGAGCTGAGCTGGAACTTGGCTGTGAATGAGGGGTGGGTGGGGAGGGCTTGGGATCACTGGACTATTTTTACCTGGGACAAGAGAAGGACATGAAAGCCTGGGTCAAGACCCCTGCTTTCTCAGAGTCCGTCAACTTCCAAGATCCCAGCCAGGAACGCTGGGGCCCTCCCTGTTTGCTCACTGTGGGCCGGGGCAGAGCAGGGAGAGGGCTCCATCAGCAGTGGGCGGAAGCCCTGCTCCCTGCTGCCCCACTGGCCACAGGGCTCCAACTGCTGGATTAAAGCTGTAAAGCTGTAACTCATGTCAGTTGCCTCATTGGGCCCGTCCACACCTTCCAGGAGCTCTGCCTGCAGCTGGGCCCTGAGTGCTGCCAGTGCCACATCCTCCAGGCTGGGAGGGCAGGCGCCAGGGCTGGAGCCCAGCATCCCCCCTCACCTGCTTCCGCCAGCAGAGCCACGCCCAGGCTGAGGGCTCCTTGAGCTGGTTCCCAAAGCCAGTGAGGTGGATTTTGCCACAGCTGGGAAGAGGGGGCTTATTTGCATTGCAGAGGTTGCCCACTAGGGGTCAGGCCCCCGTGACATGGAAGGCACTGCACATTTGTACAAAGGCACTTTCCCCTTTCCGGGGACTCTTAGCTTCATGTGTGGGTCCCGACACTGGCTGACCTTGGGTGTGTCTCTGAGCCCAGTTTTCTCAGCTATCCCATGGAAATGATGCCTCAGGGCTGTCGTGAGCGTGAAATATGTACATGAAATTGTGACCGCTGTCTGTCCTTCCTGATCTGAGGGGTTCTAGGAGCCAGGCGGAGGGATTGGGCCGCCCAAGAGGTTGGTGCGAGGTGTTCCTGTCGGCTGCCTTGGATCATCCGGACTAAGACATTAGACCCCCACTGAGCCAGGCAGACGCCCCCACCCTTGGAGATGCTTGGGTACCAAGCTCTACCCTCTTCCCTTGCCTTGTTCCCTGAGGACCTGGGTCCTCGTGCTCTCAGGACTTGTCTGGTGACAGATCTAGGGAAAGAAGTTTTACAGTTTTTAATTCAAGTGGGAAAAGTGCCAGCGTGGCTTGGCAACACCACCTCCAACCAACGGTCTCCTTTCCCCAACACCCATATGCTCAGCCCCTCCTTCCCTCCCCCAGGCTTCCTCCAGCCCCACAGCCTTGTCCTCCAGCTGGGTTCTGCATATGGCCACTGTGCTAACCATGCCCTCTGGTGCCCACAGAGTGTCAGGGAGGCTCTCGTCACACAGGCTGGAAGTGGGGGGCTCCTCGGCCAGCGTCAGAGATAGCTGTAAGCAAAGCTAGTAACAGCTATGGGCAGAGCCTCCGTCCAGGGAGTCACAGCTTCCTCCCATCCTCATTAAAATTTCAGGGGTCCCAGGAGTCTGCCCCTGGACCTGACCAGACAGAGAGGGAAAGTTAATGCTGAGGGGCGGGCAGAGCTGGGGCCAGAGCTACAAATCCACCTTCTCTCTGAGGGTGGGAGCAAGTGGTGGGAGCTGTGGTCACACAGAGTCCTGGCTTCCGGTCTGCAAATTCTGCCTTCATTCACACTTCAGGAGGGGGTCACCGGCTCATCTCAAGGTTTGGAACCCAGTTAGTTTTCTCGCTCTCTGACTCGCTCTCTCGCTCTCCCTCTCCCTCCTGAAGCTGAGAGGTGGAAGACATTGGCAGGATAAGGTTTCTGAGTTTCCCTAAGAAAAGAGGTGTAAATGAATGCATGGCCATGCCCAGCTGAATTAATTATCCTTAAATCCACAATCTGGGGCCAATTAAAAATTGCTTTGTTGACTGGAGTGGAAGGCAGGTTTATCCCAGTCATAGCTGCCTCCCAGGAGGTGGCGTCTCCCCTCCCCAGCATTTCCAGGCAATCTACTCTACACTGAGAATTCTAAGAAAAAGGGGATAACTACGACAGAGTGGGGCTTTCACATGCCCCAAGCAGAGAGAAGGCGCCTCTCACATCCTCTAGCTCTGTTAATAGGGCAGTCCCCCTGAATCTTTCCCAAAGCTCTCCATCTATGAGCCCATCTCATCTGCTTACCACCAGGGGAAGAGGGCCAGCAGGAGCACAGAGCTGTAGCTGCCCCTCCCCATCTTCTTGTTCAGCAGCTAGCACCCCTGAAAACCAGGCAGGCACCCTACAGATGAGAGGAAGATACAGGGCAGGAGGAGCGGTGACGCTCAAGGATTTACACTCCAGTGGTGTAAGTGGGGTCCTGCTGAGTTGCGAGGGCACACTCAGAACCCCTAAGGGGAGGTCTGGGAGGCACAGCCGGAGAGGAGCAAAAGCAAGTACTCCTCTTCCTTGGATGCCGGAGGGGGAGGCTGAGCTCAAAGGGGGAAGGCAGGGGTTCAGATGAAGGGAGAGAGCTGGGGCAGAGGTGAATGGGAATACAATGGGGGCCCCCCAAAAAAGAAAGGGAAGCACAGTGAGGGGGAGAGGAATGGAATTGGGGCAGCTGACACTTGAGGCAAAGAGTGAGGGAGGGTAGGTGGGATAAAGGAAGAGGAGTTAGAGGCCTGGGAAAGGTGCACGGGCCAGGCAGAGCAGGTAGAACACAGGGCAGGGGGGTGGGAGGGGGTGGTTCACCAGGCCTGGACTCCCAGGACAGCAGTGGCCACCTGCACAAGAAGTGGCATAAGGGGTAGCTGGGCCCCAGGCTTGAGAGTGGCCTGCAGAGGGGCGGGGAGCACGTGACACAACAGGCTTGGTGATCTTGGTGGTCCAGAAGCCACCCTCGGTGGGTGACTCGTGTCCAGATCTTTCTTACGCTTCTTAGGCCCGCGTGAGTGGCCATGGTCCCAACTCACAGCACCTGTGACAGCCACAGCCAACAGCCCCTGGCTCACTGGTTAAGTTCCCGCGACAGGAAGTGGGGCGAGTAGGCGGCCGCCATCCCCCCATGGCCAGTGACAGGGCCTCAGTCCTACCTAGCTCGGTGTCCCCTAAGGCCTGCGGCGGCAGGGCCCGGAGGTAGGAAGCCTGTGCAACAGTGGGTGTTGGCGGCGGGCCCCGCGAGGGGCGGGGCAGCCAGATGCGAAGACGCCCTCCGTTGGGGGAATGGAGACCCAGGATGTGGCCCCTGGAAACAAAAAGGGGCCAGCCGTGGCGGAAGTCGGGGCAGACTCCTTGGCCCAGGTCGGTAGGATGCAGCCGGCGACGAGAGACGTGGTTTGCGTACGTGTGCATCAGCTTGTTCAAGTCATTTGCTGCCTTTGACTCTCATCATCTTCCCTGGAAAAGGCGGGATCCGGACGAAGACAGATCCTTTCCGGCTCTTGCAGCCTGGCTTTCAGGATGGGAAACCCTGCAGACGGCCGTCCGCGGAGGCGGACGGGGCAGGTGGGACAGGGTGGGTGCACTACTCCGCAGAAACTGGCCCCGCGAGCGTGGCCCGCTTCCCGCGCTGGGCCGACCCGGAACACGCGGCCGCTCGGTGCCTGGAGCTCCCCCGCCCCCCGTCCCTCCCAGATGGCGGAAGGCGCCCCCCAGACCCGGCGCTGCGTCTCATCTGCCCACCTTCCCTGCCCCACCCCGCGTAGCTCCGGGGCGCCCCTACTGCGGCCGGAGAAGCCGGACGCGGCCTGCCTGCAGATGGCGCTACGGTCCCGCATCAGGTTCGAAGGCACCGGAGGAAGGATGACCTCATCAGTCCGGGCATTACACCCCCCAAATCCCCAAGAGGACAATATAGAGAGAGAATGTGTGTGTGTGTCTGTGTCTGGTTATTGGAACTTTAAGATTTGGAGATCCGTTATTTGGGTTTGGACCGGTCTCGTGTCAGGAAAGGAAGGAGGGAGATCTCTCATCAGAAGGAGCTTTAAGAGCAGGAGATCTGAGCTCTCTTTTTATCAGCTGTGTGATCATGGACCTGTAGGTAACCTCTCGGGGCTGAACTTGACCTGCAAAATGGAAACCTTCAGAATTGCAAGAGCACCTGAAGCAGACTGCAGCGTCTTGCTGAGGCCTGGCAACCTCAGACACAGGGTACATGGAAGCACCGGCTGCCCTCAGCTCCGGCTAACACCCTCTGAGGCCCGAGAGTCAGCAGGTGTCTACCCGCCATCTCCTGGGCCCAGCCCTTGTTTTGGTTGTTGGGGTGGACAGGCAAGTGGGTAGAGGGGAAGGGGGTGCAGAGTGTCCCCTGGGATCCAAGCTTTTTGCTCCCACAACTAGCCTGCCTCTGTGTTTGGTCAGACCTAGCACAGCAATCCTTCTTCCTAGCAGGGACGCCCCCTCCTTCACCCCAAAGATGATGACACTGCTGTGCTCCCTGCTGTGGGACAAAACACCGAGACAGAGAAAACTGCCAGTGACCCAGACCCAAAGAGGCTCTTCCACAGTGTCAAGGGGTGCCAGCGCCTGTAAGTCAATCAAATCAGAAAGATGCTTTTGATATACGTGATGGAGGGCACAGGGGTGCAGTTAGGTCAGGAGAGCAGCCTGCAGCTGGAGTGGGGGGTGAGATGGGTCACTGGGCACACTGGTGTGGCGGCTGCTCCCCAAATGGTCATTCACTTCTCTGCCTGCTCAGAGATGGCTGCCTTCCTGGGCTTGTGACTGCTGTGAGGAGCTGGCCCCAAGCCCACAGTGAGGAAGAGTCATGGAATGAGCATTCCCTGAACATGCCTAATATAGCCATCCCAGGGCCCTGTGCTCCACTCTGCCCCGTCACCCCTGAAAGCGGCTCTGGCTAATGATTCCAGGCAGCAGCAATGGTCAGGAGCAGACCCCGGCTAAGGCCTAGTTTCCTTGGCCTGGTCAACCCAGTCAGTGGGGAGCCCTCGACCCCGGCTTGAGTCTTTCCCTCGCACTGGACTTTCTGCAGATATGAACCTGTTACATGGTCAACCTGGGCTGGCATGTCAGGGACCCGGAGCCTCTAGAGTCCTCCATGGGGCCTAAGGTGAGCATCAGGACCCCTCAGGACAGTACAGGGTGGGGGGCACGGTCATTCACAACTAAAGGCTTGTATATATTATCAAAATCTTATGGAAAAACAGATACACGGCTATTTATACAACAGCAGGTGGGTGTGAGGGAAATGTCTGCTTTGGCATCAAACCTTCAGGACCAGCTGCTGTCTGTCTCTCTCCTCCCAGCTGGAGCCCACTTCCCACCAGGCCAGCTGCCCCTGCCATGTCCTCTGATCAGCCCAGGAGGGGTCTGAGGGTATCCTCGGCCCCTCCTCCTTCTTCCCTTGGGCCCTCGTGCCCTTCTCAATCTTCTGCCATTGTCCCACACAGAGGGCCACGGGCCCAGCAGCTTTGCCCCAAGGGCTCCTCAGAGGCCC